GTTGATCTCTTCCCACCCCCCCACCCACAACCTTTTTAATCTTGACTTTTAAAAACAGAATTTAGATGAACTCAGATTGAAATTACCTGAGCCATGGACCCATCCCTAAGCTAATCACTGCAGTTGGGGGGATACAAAGCGGATTGGCCAGGCTAACAAGCCAACACCCATGGGAGGTACCACATTGCTGCACATCCTGAGTTTAGGAAATCTTCAGTTAAGGTGGCAGATCTCTGCTTTGAATTGGGGTGGTTGTTAGAGTCCAGATTGTTCTTGTCTGAGGGCCAGGAGAGGGGTACTTCTGAGCAAAGAAACAAAAAGAGGATTTGGGAGATCCCAGAATGATTTTCGAGGGCTTTTTGCTTGGTCAAATTGTGTTGATCTGGGTCATGGTTAAGTGCACAGGTTCTGGGTCCAAATCCTGGCTCTGCCACTTCCTAGCTTGACAAGTAATTTCTCTGAGCTTCTGTTTCCTCATGTATAAAAAATTATGAGTAATAATCGTCATCAGCAAGTAAAGAGCTTAAGACAGTGTTTGGCTTTGTAAGCCCTCAGTAAGGCTTCTCGGTTAATGGAGACCTTAGGAACAGAGCGCCCACAGCCCTGCCAAGGGCATTAGCACTGAACCGCAAGTGGATGACTAAAGCTACACACGGAAACCTCTTTGGAGAAACAGTGAACCACGCGTGGCACTCTGAGTTTCCGGATTCCCTATGATGTAAGCACGAAAACTTTGCGCTGTACTAAAAAGTGTAATTAAAATGTACTTCAAATAAAAATTTAAAAAAGAAAGGATGGTTATTGAACATCCCACTCCCAAGTGCCTTTGTTTGCCGAGTTCTTACATGGATGGGCATCTAACATGCATTTCATTAAACCAGGAAAGCTAGAGCCAGGCTAATTGCATACCTGGTAGCAGGATTCATTACAGAGGCCCCTTCATCAGATGGTGAGCGTGAGTGATTCCCCTTGGAAGGTGACCTGACTAGTATCTGAAAACACTCAGATGTCCCAGCCAGGTTGATGGAGGGCAGGAAACGTAACCTTTGACCGGGCAAGTGGTAACAATGTTGCCCTTTCTGCAACCAAGAACCAAAGGAATTAAAATTGAGTCAGTCACCAAGTAGATTGCATTTAGGGTCACCTATAAATCTCTCAGGAGCATTTACCAAAATGTTTACTTTTCTTAGTAATTTAAAACGAATGGGGAAAGCCTTTGTACCAAACATTGAAAACAGAAACTTGGTTCTGTCTTCCTGGTTCCATTCCAGCAGTTGGTCTTCACTTCCTCTCCGAGCACCCTTTACTGAGCACCTCCTCAACATGATAATGGTGCTGCAAATTACAGTTAATTCCTTCACAAATTAGATATATTTCTGCCCCTTCCGCTGAGTACGCTGAAACGATTCTCCAGTAATACACATATGTGGATGACACTGAATTTTGTACAAACTACAGCAGAAATGACGACAATTTGTTTCATGTAATTTACTTTAAATCTCCCTTTGTTTTGCACTTCCCTTTTAATAACATTCAGATTGGGTTTTGCAGTGCCACCAAGAATCTGAGTGGGACGCAAGGGACCCAATTCTGTGGTTTTTCCTGTTTGCAGTTATGCTGTTTATTCTGGGGAAGGGGGTGGGGTGTCGTGGGTGGAAATGTTCTTTTACAATTAAAACCAAGCAACTGTAAGTCTAAAAGCAACTCAAACCTGATTTTCAGCTTCATGCTGTATCAGAGGGTTTGGTCAGTCTAGGGTAAAGGTTTAGGTGGAATTGTAACTGTGTCGGACCTTCCTTTCTCAGATGCTCAGCATTGACCAGGACTACTTAAGGCCTGATGCAAAGTAAATGCAGCTTTCAGAATGCTTCCTACTTTGACACTACATCATGCTATCCTTCTCCCGCAACATATTGATTTTAAAATTGGCTTCCTGACATCTAAGTAATTGTCAATTTTTTTAATGGAATTCCTGTTTACTGCATATACATTCCTTTTTTTGTTTTTCCCCTTCTCTAAGTGAGGGACATTTTGAATTTCTCAGAATCATTCTTGTGTGTGTTTTTTTGTTTGTTTTTGTTTTGTTTTTTTTAATTCTGAGAATATGGGGGGGGGGTTAATTATTGATTTGAGAGAAAGAGAGAAACATCAATGTGAGAAATATCAATCAGTTGCCTCCTATACACACTGTGCCCAGGAATCAAACCCACCACCTTTTGGTGTATGGGACGACACTAACCAACTGAGCCATACCAGCCAGTGCCATTCTTGTGTTTTTAAAATAAGAGTTGAGATAAACAAATGGAGTTCTGACCTAGCCCCAGGAACTCTCTCTACTTCTCCACAAAGAGTCCCTCGGCACTCCTCGTGTTCATGCCACCCCTAAACTTTAACTTCAGAAATCCATGTAGCATTGGTCTACTTGTAAGAGAGATGATTCTTTGCCCTCATTGAGCAAACATTTCTGTTTGGGTTTTACATTTGCTCTATTAGGACAGTCCAGTTTAATTGGCCTCTACCTGCCTGGTCAACATAACACAAGCAATTTCATTTCCATCTAAACTTTATATACATTGTCAGAAATGAAATGCTATGTTGGTCTGGAAATTACTGGGGCTAGACAGGGAAAGAACCTGAGGGGCCAGGCTACTTCTCAGGGTATCCACCTTCTATTGATTTGAGTCATTTCTGAGAAGGCCTGAGATGATCTCTTTATTAGACACTCAGGTAGATGGAACTTTATCTGAATGTCCTTGAAGGTTGTAGAAGAGCAAGAAGGTTGTAGAATAAGCCACAGTGAGAGCTTCATCCAGAGAAAGCCACTCACTGCAAGGCCTCCTGCTGCTCAGGGCCCCCAGAGTTTGGCTTAGTGCTGTCTCTCTGTGGCTGTGCCTCATTGTTAATCGTCCATTCAGAATGTTTCTTGAGTGTTGGCAACATCCTCCTTAGACCCTGGCAACCACTACCCCTGCCCTGGGCTGCACAATCTAGAGAGCTTGCTTTGGCCCATCCCCCATTTTCTAAGCCATGCTCTTGGTACCCAAGACCCCAAAATCCCCCGTCCAAATGGCCCTGGAGGAGGAGGCAGAGGACTAGCTGTGGTTGGGTAGAAGGAGATAGAACCTCAGTGTAAGGCTGGGTTGTTCAAGGTTGGAAGAGAAAGGAGGGTTGGGGAACCAAGGTCCAGGGCCTCCACTTGCAGCTTTGCCTCAGGTCCTGCATGCAGGGATTGGATGGCGAAGAAGAGGGACTGTCCCAGCTCTTCAGAGCCTCCGTCCCAATTGGGAAGACAGATGGGGAAGAAGTACTTGGAAGGGTGATGAGTTCTGCAAATGAGAAGTATGAGGTGCTTTGGGAGCCTCTACTAGGGGACAGGGAGCCAGACTTGAGTGGGGGTGAGTGGAAGAAAGTAGGGATGTCTTCTGTGAGAAAGTCCTACCCACAATTTCCCATGTACCCAAGCCAAAATGTTCACACTAGCACTCAAATGTGCAATATCTGTAACTTTATTAGCATAAGTCTGATGGGCTAAAGTAACATTCTCTTTCAAGCATTCTTTTCCAGTTTAATTCACTTTTTTTCAAGTTCCTTTTAATTGACAAATATACCTTTTTCTCCTAACAGCTGCTGAGTAGTGTCTTAAGAGCAAGATAAGATCCATTTTTAAATAAAGAAAGTATTTTTTTTCTCATAAACTATAGAGTATAAAGTCTGCACCTTGCTACCCATTCAGGTGTCCCTTGACCCCCAGTTCTATGACCTTGGGCAAGTCACCTCATCTGTGTCCTGGAGAGAACACTGTCTATCTCAGAGGTTGGCATGAGAGGTAATTGGATGAAATATTTAAAAGCAGGAAGGACAGAGCCTAAACTGTAGAATGGGGTAGGTTTCGGGAACTGTTAGTCATACTTCTCTGTTCTCCCATTAACCTTAGAAACCCAGACTGGTTTCGAAAACTTTTGAATTTAAAAAAAAAGCCCAGCCAGTATGTCTCAGTGGTTGAGCATCCACCTATGAACCAGAAGGTCAGGGCTTCATTCCAGGTCAGGGCACATGGGCTTGATCCCCAATAGGGGGCGTGTAGGAGGCAGCTGATCAATGATTTTCATCATTGATGTTTCTATCTCTCTCTCCCTCTCCCTTTCTCTCTGAAATCAATAAAAAAAAATATTTTTTAAAAAAAGAGAAAGAAAGAAAGAAATGCTGTATTCTTCATACTCAACAATACTCTGGTTCACTTTAATGCTAAGAAGCCATGATTATGTTTTCTACAAGGATAGATACCTAATAATAAATACATACGTGCCTATTTAGAGAGGGACAGAAAGAGAGCAAGAAAGCTGCTCCTTCAAGGCAAAAAGAAATATAAATAGGGCAAATATCATCATTCAGATTTCTGTTTTATTTGCTACTAGTTTTGTAGTTTAAAGTCAGAGAAATGGATTCCTGACCTGGAATGGCAGATTTGGAAAGAAACTAAACAGAAGTCATTTGGTGTTGCCAGTGGTAAGGGTTGCAAACAAGTAAACAGATGCGGAAATGATGAGCATCGTGACATTACAGATTCCCTTTGAATGTGAACACTCCCCCGCCTTCTGTTGCTATCTGGAGTGTAGATACTCCGCACGCCACTCGTTCATCTTTGTTCCCCATCAGCCTCCTACTTTCTAGACTCTACCTCTTAGTTTTACTAAAAAGCTTTTCAAAGATGACGGTCTAGGATAAAGAATCAAACCCTGGAATTATCTGAGCTCCGGCAACACAGAAGACATAAAAATCCACAGCATCATAGCTCTCAGTGGGTTGATAAATAGCACTTTTATCCTCACCTTGGGTTCCCGGGGTGTTATGGTAATGTAACGTGCCACCTTTCTTTATTTACTGTCTCTGCCTCCTTTTATTTATAGAGACTGACAAAACCAGACATCTATATTTTTTGTTTTGTGTGGTTTTGGGGGGAAGGTGGATCTATAAATGCACTATTTTCAAAATAATGTAGTAAGTGCAGCCTAATAAAGGTTTTTTCCTAAAGGCAGTGTGACTACCTCCATAAAGTAAATTTAAAGATAAAAGCTGTTTGGAAATCTGTCTTGAGTTGTTGAAAAAAAATAATGGATGCAATAAATAAAATGTTAGAAAAAAATTTACTAATATATAAAAAACCACATCTATTCACACACACACACACACACACACACACACACACACGCACACACACATCCAGCTGTTTCACTGTCTTCTATGCAGTTTTCATTCTATGCATGCATTTCACAAAGCAACCTTAATTTAAATGCCATTGAAGGTTTTGCTTTCTAAACTTATATCCCCAGTTTTCTACAGAACAAACAAGTTTTGTTCATGCACTGTGAATCTATGTAATTTAATTACTATTAATGGCTTCAGTCACAATGATTTATATTTTGATAATCACCACCTTCTGAAGAATTCAAAGTTTTAAAAACAGCACCTTGGATAGCTCGTAAGCCCTCCTGCTCCATTTCTACAGATGGGAAAACTGAGGTTCTAAAGAGGATATGGGACTAGCCAGGATTATTCTTAGCAGATCCTGGACTGCAACTCCAGACCCAACCATGGCTTTCTGCCCAACCACAGCTGCCTCCTGACAGCCCCCAGAATCTCTGCTCCATCCTGAATGGGTGTTGCCGGGGGTGGAGAGCACAGAAAGATAACATCCTACTGGTCGCTTTTCCCCACTCAAGTGGACCAGGCAACGCTACCTGCTTCTACCAAAGGCTGGTTTGAATGGTCTGATCCTAATCTGACTACTCAGAATGTGATTACTTTTCTATTTTTGAAAAACTTTTCTGTATTTCATGGGAAGCTGAGCCCGGGGACTGGGTTCCACACAGTTGCAATCCTGACCATCGTGCGGTAGAATCCGAGGCTCTGTGAAGATGGTATGCACCCTCATGTAAATTTTACTGCATCCAAGTCACATCAAAGGACTGGGCCGTGCCTCTCCTGGAGGTAACTCCCTGGGATACCTCTTGGCGCTTTGGGGTGAGACAGGGGCCTGCAGGGAACTCAGAGCTACCTGACTTTTTCAGAGACATGGAGTCAAACCCAGAAGCCAAGCCATCTATAGACCAGCTCGATCCTGGGCAGCTGGGTCCATGCAGGAAAGGCTTTTCTCTGGGCTGACAGAACTCATGCAGCTCACACAGTCCCGGGGCAGGTTTCTGCCGGCACATGCCATGAGCCTGCAGAGCCCGGGCGTTAGGAGGGCAGGTGGCAGCAGGGCTCGCGGATCGTGGGAGTGCTGGTGAGTTGCAGTTTCCCTGAGTGTCCCCTGAAAGAGTGGTCCTCCTCGCCGGGGCTTCAGCTGCCCAGCTGTGGGCCAGGGAACCGGGAGCCCCCGCCCCCTCCCCAGCTGGCCCAGGCAGCCATCGTCTGCAATAATGTTTAGTAATGGCTGAGCACAGCTGCCTTTGAACTGACGACCTGGTAATCTGCACTAGAAAGGCCCGGATCCCTTGACAAATCCCTCGAGCCTCCAGCCTGGCCATTTGTTTGACTTGTTGCTCTTAAAGTTTCACATCATTTTCAACATGTTAAGCCACCACTTCAAGCGCATTATTGAGTCTGCGGGAAAAGGCAGCCCTGGGCCTGTGTTATTCGCCACTTGGCCCTCGTCCTTTTCTTTCACAGCTCGCCCGCCGGAGCAGGCAGGCATCGCGCGGGTGTCAAGATGCAGTGCTGCTTCGCTCATCTGAAGGATCCATCTGCTGAATAGCTACAGAGGAAGCAGCGCTTGAAGAAATGCTTTAGTGAGCACCTACATGCCCAAGTAGACGACTCTTCGTGAACAATAGTGATACAGCGCCCTGCGAGAGTTCGCAAACACACAGATGGCTGCTCCAGAACAACCAAGCATTTGTCAGGAATGTTAGACAGAGGAAGTTCTATTTCACTCACTGTTACCGCTGCCAGCACCATCCGTTTAATACAGAACTTGCAGACCCCAAAAATCATCTTACTTCTGCTTTATGAGCAATACTGCACTCGTGTGTGCTCCTGGAACTGGACGTATATAGTTACATGCTTAGAAATAGGCATTTCCTTCTTAGTCTTTCACCCAACCAACATAGGGTCATAACTATTCCATGAATCACATGTATGTTTATTAAGTATGTATTATCTACTAAAGAAAACCAAACATTGTATAAAATATGACCCAATTAGAACTCCTGGATCATTTCAGAATTTTAAAACTATTCTTATTGGCTTTTTTGCCACTTCCTATTTCTTTATGAATTTAAAGACAACAAAACTTATCTGAAGTCTGATGCAATAAAAAATATGTGGAATATGTCAGAACTGTGTTTTTCTTTTTTTAAATGGTTATCATTTTTTGCCACTTCCTGGTGCTTTATGGATGTAAGGCATTATAATCTTTTATATTCTATCCAAACTGACACCTCGCTTTGTGCCCAGTATAACTCTGCTTGAGGAATTCTCTAGTGGTGAGTATTTGGCAGCATTATTTTTTATCTTATGTACTGATATTTATGACAAGAGTGAGAAATGTGCAGGATAGCCAAATTCCTTCCTTAGTCCATAGACACACTTTATTCCAAAAGAAAAGTAATGTTTTTGCTCATGCTGTTTTGCAAAAGACCTAAAAAGGGAAGCATTAGGCAAAACGTTTTACTATTCCTTTGAGTTTGGGGGAAGAGGTATGAGGGCTTGTAATAAACATATGTAGTTATTATGCTTAAAAATGGGCATTTCCACCCAACCAACATATGATCATATGATCAATTTTAAAATAAACTAGCAATACTATGTGTTTCCAGTAGTATCTTAAGTTTGAAAGTTCCAGATTGAAAGATAACCTTCCTAAGCATCTTTTTCCCAAAAGCATTTGCCATGGTCCCTCACTGTGGGATCCTGGGGGAAATGAGTACAATTTCCCTGATCCCCTTATGGTTGCTAGACCTTACTTTCCACAGCCCATGATCTAAAAGCATATTTGTCTTTTTTCTTTAACTTATCCCCATCAGGTATTGAAGAACAGAAACTTTCCTCAAAGTAGACAACTTCAAGGTTAAATGGTTTAACTACTGACCATGCCACAGGCCAATTGTTAAGCTAGGACTCCCTGCCCTTTTTACTCCACTGTTAGGACTCAATCTAGAACCTTGACTAAAGACACAACAAGTCAGGAGGGTGGTCAGTGTTACTTTCCTGTATTTGTTCTGGGGATTGAAGGGGTAAGTGAAAATGAGGACTATTTCTGGAGCCCTTAGCAGAGAAAGTTGGATTGTACTTCCTATGAAGAGAAACATGTTGAATACAGAGGAGCTCTATATCCTAAACTGACAACTCTTTTTGCTAGTGGCTTTTTACACAGCAAATATTTAATAAGGAATCCTTTAATGATCAAAGGGTTTTTTCAAGTATCACTATTCTCAGGACTCAACAGGCTCTAACAGTTACGCTGTATTTATCAACTCGGGCTGCTGTAACACAATGTCACAGAGTAGGTGCCTTAAATGACAGAGATTTTTATTTGCACAGTTCTGGAGGCTGGAAGCCCAAGGTCAAGGTCTCAGCAGGTTTGGTTTCTTCTGAGGCCTTTTTCCTCGACTTACAGATGACTACCTTCTCCTGTGTCTTCACTTAGTTATCTCTCTGTCTGTGTTGTTTGTGCCTTAATCTCTTCTTCTGATAAATAGACCAGTCATATTGAATCACAACCCGTCAATATGACCTTTTACTTTAATTATTTCTCTAAAGGCCCTTGCTCACATTCTGAGGTACTGGGGGTAGGACTTCAACAATGAATTTGGGAAAGTTACACAATTCATCCCATAACATATGCTTATGAGAAACATGAGGTACCTCTTAAATGGTAATGTTTGTTTGGGTTATTCATCATGTTCTTACATTTTAAACGTAATGGTGATGCTAAGTTACTTATTGGTCTATGTGGTGCGGAAAGACAGAAGACTTGAAATTCAGGCAGAGTTTAGAAGATTTTCTTGAGACTATTAGTGAAGTACTTATCCTGTAGCTGTGAGATACAACATACTCCAGCTTATAACAGGAAGGGGTCCAAGAGGAGGTGCAATTTACCTGACATGTTTATATGTAGCCTAGTGAGGTCGAAGGAATAGTGTGGTAG